GTTTTTTACTCACAAATAGAAATAAATATTTAATTTATATTTAATTGGATTTTTGTCAACTGGAACTTCTACAACTCGAAATATTTTCTATCTCGAATATTTTGTTGTTACCTATTATTTTATATTTATTCCAGACTCGAATTTGTCCACGTCGTATGTTTTTTCTAAATCGTAATTTGATTATAAATTGTTTCGTTAATTCCGATTTCTGGTAATTTAGGTTAGGTTCATAAAAGCTACGGTAGAATAAGGCAACACAAACGAAGTAGTTACATGATCTGACACCTTGAACTAAGATTGTAGGGGTTATAAAAGGTGAGCCTAACAACTTTAATATGCGTAGAAGCGATGTCTTCGAAACAATAATTATAAGTAAAGTGTTTACCAATGAAGAAATTTTCTTTAGTGGAAATTTTTTCTATATAGCAGAAAAGCCGGAAAGATTTATCGAAATAAAATTTCATAAAACAATCATAAAGAAGTTCCAGATACGATAAATCGGCACTGCTAGCCGATCAGAATTTTTTTGCCAGTCGGCGGATTAACCGTTCGTGTGCAAGGGGCCTTATGGTTTCATTATGTAATATGATAAAATATAAAGCAAAGTAGTGGTACTGATGTGCTTGTGTTTTGTTGAGGGCGTGTTTGATTTTTACGACTTCAACTGTCTAAGATCTCATTTAAGCCTCTATTAAATTCATCAGTAGATAGAATACATACAACGACGCTTGTACATACATTTATAGAACAATAACTGAACGAAGTAAACACACTTAGAATTTAATTAACACGATGTTCGTAGCTACTTTGATCTCTTTGTCGGCGCCTTATCGCGTCGAATAAACATTCTATAAGTATTACACATTAAATGACATAAAATCATCTGATAACTCCGTAGTAAGGAATTACGTTATTTACGAACTTTTATTGGTACGTTTTTTTTGTTTGTTGGGAGTGTATGTGTACGTATTCAGTAATTTCCATTTGATATGCGGATTATTTTAACGGCGTTATGACGGAGTAGGTTATAAACATGCAAATAATGTGTAAGTACGTGGGCCTTAAATTGTCTTATGATTTTTAAGGTTCAGTATCTCAAAAGGAAGAAAGGAACCCTTATTGGATCACTTCGTTGTGCGTCTGTCTGTCTGTCTATTAATAATTTTTAGGGTTTCGTATCTCAAAAGGACGAAAGGAACCCTTATTGAATTACTTCGTTGTGTGCCTGCCTGCCTGCCTGTCTGTTAAGAATTTTTTGGGTTCCGTATCTCAAAAGGAAGAAAGGAACCCTTATTGGATCACTTCGTTGTGTGCCTGTCTGTCTATCTATTAATAATTTTTAGGGTTCCGTATCTGAAAAGGACGAAAGGAACCCTTATTGAATTACTTCGTTGTGTGCCTGCCTGTCTGTCTGTTAGGAATTTTTAGGGTTCGGTATCTCAAAAGGAAGAAAGGAACCCAAATTAAAATAATATCAATTTTTCCAGTCTGCAATCCCTATAAGCTCGGAAATAATCAAACTTGCAATATACGTCAACGCAATGAAAAGATGCGGTGTTTATTTCTGACGGTCTGATAAGGGCTGGGCTTATAAAAACCCTAAGATCGGTAAAGAGAGTCGTTTTCCTGTTTAAATTTACAAATTATTCGGGGTAGAATTAAGAATTTCAAGGATTCTAATATCTCGATAATCTAAAACTAATAAAATATTCATTCGGAGAGTTAGTAGGTACTTATATAAATTAATTAGTCGATGTATTATTTGTTGGTTAGGTTAGCCAACTATTACAGGCGCAGATCCAGGATTTTACTTAGGCAATGAGAATTTATGTGCGTTTTTTTCTATTTTCCCGAAAACAAAAAAATCAGTTAATTTTTCACATAATATTTCTATATTTTATATTTTTATAATCAAAGTGATGAGTTAATAACGATTCTGGTTAAAGAGGTAGTATTGACCTTATGACCTTTCAAATATTTTAAAATTGGTCAAGATCGAATGTTTCGAATCGTAATAAGAGGGGGGCGATCCTTCACCCCCATTGCCCCCTCCTTGGATCCGTGCATACTTTGTTAGCTATTTGTTTAGTTAGACCACTTGAATTTATGTACTGATTTCTTGGATTTATTAAATATTACCCTTTTGTGTTTAAATTTATATATTTAAAAACCGCCCCTTCGCGATATTTAAATAGTGACTAAAAGGGATTAAAATACAGACCAAACAATAAAAATNAGAAAATAACAATTATTAAACCTTTAAATTTCTTATTCCTGGCATAGCATCTTCAGGTACACCTTTGTCCAGTACTTTCTTATGAATTTTTTGTCGGCACAAAGGTTCCTTTGTGTTTGCTGGATTTTCTAATTCCGCAACATCCTTAAAACAATTACTTATTTAAGCAAGTCTATTTTCTCTCTTTACAAAACTCGACTACCTGTTTTGTGACAGAAGATACTGCCAGGACGTCATTGAGTGTAGACCCTACTAACATTATTTTTGCACCTTTGGTTATACCTACATTAGCTAAAGTTTGATTATCTTGTAAAAGACCTTTGTACATTAATTTCTGTAAAGATTCTGGCACACCTGCAATCGGGTTATGTTTTACAAAGGCAATATTTGATACAACAAGGGAAGCACTAACCCAACAATCCCTGTAATTTTTTTTTCAGCTCTGCCACAGTTGAATCTGAAGGAGCACTAACATCATGTTTATTTTTATTATAAACTACTTTAAAATCTAACAGTTCACTTGTAGAATCAACTTTTTTTTCATCGTTGGAGGACTCCGTTACCTCGGATATTTCAGTTTTGGGTATTTTACATTCTGAAGGCTCTTTAAAATCAGACTTTTCCTCCTTTGTATGATTTGAAACTGTGTTATCTATTTTATTTCCGTTCTCCGTACCTTTCAGAAACAAACTGTTTTAAATCTTCGAGATGACAAAATGGTTTTAGCTATTTAAAACAATCGGTCTGTTGGTCATACCTTCTCTGATTAGCAACAATTCTTTGTATCTGGGATATTCACTGGCGGGGAGTTGAGAGCCGAATATAGAGATGTCTGAAAAATTCGTACAAATGCCTTCAGTCATATTTACATATAAATAATAAATAAAATAGGTATAAGTCCAACAAATGCAATTTAAAGCCTCTGGGGGTAGTACGCCTTGTTTAGTTTATGAATTTTCAGAGAAGCAAGAAACTATTACACATTTCTTTAACAGCAATTTTTTTTTTATTTGCCATACATATTGTTACATGGTATCTATAAATTCATATTTAGGATGTAAGCTAATACCTACTTATTTCCTCTGTCAAGAAGGTCAATTAGCTACCGTCTAAATAGCGGAATCAATAATTATAATCAAGAAGTCGAGAGTCGAATCCATGATCACAGAGATGGAGGGTGGTGAGACGGTTTACCGTCTTGACTCACCCTGTCATAGTTTTCTGCCATTTCTACGTCCTCCAATTATCTAATAAGGCGTAC